CTATTTATTCTTATTTTTAAAAAATTTGGGATTGGCGTAGAAGAGTGGTCTCTCCAACCATAGTTGGGGCACTCAAAGCCAAATGTGAGCGTTTAAAATGAGTGTCAATTTTATTTGGATGGAGAAATTGAGTACAACAAAGATGCCAAATTTGCTACTAGTCATTAGTATTCTTTTGTCATAGGCCCTGTGAGCTTGGCGTTGGTGGTATTGTAAATTATTTACTGTATCTATATTCTAGTGCTTGTGAAATTCAAATTAATGAAACTTATGTTTTGCAATTAAATTTTTTTTTTCGTTTAATTATATGTTATTGTTGAATTTATAATTATTTAATTGAGAGCATACTATGAGGATCACAGCTCCAGATAAAAATATTTGTAGCATGCTACGTTGTGGGTTGTTAGAGGCTGCAACTAACTTTGGTGGTTGAATAATATATATAAAAAACTTATATGTTTGCAAGTTAGTGAAATAGTACTTGCGATAGATGTAAGAGTAATCAATGAATATAAACAATTTTTATATTGGTTTAACTCAACCATCGAGGCTATGTCTAGTTTTCAATCCAACCAGATTGAGTTCTACTAACTTTCAACAAAGTTATAAGTATTCTTTCATCAAGCCACTTCAGACTTAATACAAGTGTTCTTTGATTGACCTCCTCAAGCCACTACAAGTATTCTTTTTCACAAATAAGCCTCTCTAGGCTCAACCCCAAGTACTCTTTTTCAGACAAGTCTCTCTAGGCTCTATCCTATAACAATAGTTAAAGAGGTATTAAAAGGTTGTTGTCATCTCCTCTAGACGTGATTACAACAAAAGTTTAAGTGTAAAAGATCTTTTGAAGAAGATTTTCTATGTACGTGATTCTCTCTTGAGTTGTATGTGTTCTCTATCTTTATCTCTTCTCTTGAGTTCCAAAGCTTCTTATATATTAGTTTAAAGAGATGATCATTGCAACTTCTTAAGTCTGATTCATAAAACTACTCCGTCTTACTCCTTTGTCTAATCTAGAGAGAGAAAACATCTATTAATTGATGCATTAAATGCTTCAGTTAATGTCTTTCACCAAAATTTACATCTTTATATTTGATAGATCAAGCTACTTATCAAAGTAGAATAACAAAGTGGGAACAATAGGAAGCAAAGTCAATGTGCAGTGAGGATGCAATGCTTTTACTGCATTTTTTTGTGAGAATTGGGATCCTTATCCTTTGTTTTGATGTTTTACATGCCTTGTAGACACCTAATTTTGCCTGGGGACTACTAGAATGGGAGAAATGGTCCTCGAGGGCCCAATAAAGCACCTAAACAAACCAAGATAGCTCTGGGAGGTCTAGAAAACTCAAAAACCTAATCTGGGGTGTGGAACAACCGTTCCCAACCTTGGAATGGCCATTCCCAATCTTGGAACAACCCATTTCAAAATTGGAATGACCCGTTCCCCTTTCTAGAAAAGCTTCGCGTTGGGCAATGTTTTTGCTTTGATAATATCTCTCGCTACAGACCTAATTTTGACATTCCAAACGTTGAAGTTAAAGATCAATGTAGTGAGAATATATCATCAAATTTTCAACATGATCCAACGATTAATGAATTCTCTTGAAGCCTCGCACTAAAGCTGGAAAACACGAGTCTTATACTAGACAACGTTTTTGTTTTGATAGTATATCTCACTACAGACCTAATTTCAACAATCCGATGTTGAATTTGAAGATCAATATATTGTGAGGGTACCATAAAAGAACCAACACGATCCGAGGGTTAACAAATTCTCTAAAGGTCCTACATCGTGCTTAGAAAAAGATTTTATTTTTGTAAGATTTAGTCCCACATCGGACAATTCTCTTATTCTTTTGCCTCCTAGATGACTATATAAGAAACCCTATAGCCAAAGGATTGGACACTTCAAGTTGCATAACTTCCCCCCTCTCTATATAAATCTTTGAGTGATAGTGTGACTTTTTGTAGAGCAAAGGGTTTCCAAAACGCGTCATACGCGCATTTGGGAAGATTCCCTTATAAGAAGCTTAATTTGAAGGTTTTAAATTCTTCTCTTTTATTTATTGTTTTATTTATTTTATTTTATTATTGTTTATTATTTTATTTATTATTTCATTTATTATTTTATTTATCATTTTATTTATTATTTTATTTATTATTATATTCATTATTTTTCTTATATGCAATAAATAAATAAATAGCCATGTAGATAATATGTATTTTTGTCTTATAAATAATTAATAAAAGGGGTAAACATTCAAATTATTATTTATTATTATGCTAAAATCGTCATGGGTTACCAAATTAGGACATTGTAGGGTGTCTTATATCTTCCATACACGTAATCGAACCCCGAACCTGATTCTGGCTATCAAGGCCATAATTAACTTTTGAAAACCTATTCTTTTTTTCCAATATTTTAAGTAAAATATTGGTGGTTGTTCCTTTGGACTTTTTTCAAAAATCATTGGTTAGGGATTAGTCTGATCTCTTGGCATTTCCTAATTGATGAGATTTCCAAATGAAAGTCCAAATCATCTGTGGATAAGATCGGATTTTTTTGGGTTCTGACATGCCTTTATACACTTTTAATAGAATGTGAGTTCCAAGACAATGACTTTTGATCTATTAATGTATAAAACATTCATGTGAAAATTCAAACATGTCATTCATAATAAATAATGAACATTAAGAACATGAAAATAGTTATGCTTCGTCTAATTTGCTTCTCTTACAAATGTTACTTTGTCTTATATAGTTTGAAACAATAAATTTTTGAAAATATTTTCTTGCTGAAAAACATAGTGCTTGTTATCATTAAAAATTACGAAAAATGAGGGACCTAAGATCGGTTTTTGACTTAACACATTATTGAGAAATATTATATATTATCGAGTTAAGGTTAAGGTGTTTGGGGGAGGAAATGTTGAGGAAAGCGCTACATGGGAATTTGAGAGCCAAATGAGAGAGTACTATTTGTTTTTATTCACTTTAGGTAATTTCGGGGATGAAATTCCAAAAAAAAAAAGAGGGGGGAAGAATTGTAACACCCTATGTTTTTGCTATTAGATTAATAATATTTTTGTTAAAAAATTTAAAGAGTTAAGGTTATAGGACATTTATCCCTTTTTGGTATGAATTGAGTTGCTTATGGGTTCTTATGGAAACCCTAAGGGTATGCATTGAATGGTTATGATATGAGTGGTTAATCAAATTGTATATAATTATATGAAATTTGTGTCTTATGACAAATTGTTGGATGAGAAATCATTGAACATATGTATAAATTGAATTCATAATATGAAGGAGTCTGTGTGACATGCATCATATACACGTAAATCAACAAATTGACAAATTATTTAATATGCACTGTGCATATCTTGAGATTGGTACCACATACATGCAAATCGAGAGTTCGTACTATTGCATTCCACATTTGCATTTGTCTGAATTACTTATGATTGATGCGTTGTTAATGAGTGATTATGTTGGTAGTGATAAACGAATAATGGTGATAGTTGATTGTTATTATCATGCTATTGTATAAATAAAATATGGAGTGTGTTTGACTATCTGTTTCTTATTCTATGCCATAAGCTAGAGTGAGAAGTTTTCTCTCTCCCTTGTGTTCCATGTCTTGTCTATATATGTTATTGTAGGCAATGCTCATCAAGATCTTGGTGATGTCAGTGACGAGACATAATTCTTGTTTTAAAAGTGCTCTAATAAGACATGTGACATCGGAGTTTAGATTAGGATTAGTTAAAAATTGGTTTATGTTAGTTATATTGAGTAACTGATTTTATTTCCCTTATAATTTATTATTTCAGCTGAGTTTAGTTTGTGTAAAATGTGATACCTCTCTACTTGTACGACTTTGAGTTCATTATTACATCAAGATTATTCAATTTTTATATCATGTTATATTGTGTGATGTGTATACAAAGATAAAGGGTGTCACACTTGTTGATTTTATTAATATTATTAAAATTTATTTTGTTTCTATAGTTTAATGGTATTTATTAACACTTTTTATTTATTTATTTTGAATGAAATGAAATATATTATATTTTTATCTTTCTTAATTATAAGGTAATATTTTTATTTCTTTATTTTTTTTTAAATTTTGTATTTAAATAATTTTAACTAAATTTTCAATTTTTTAAAAATAGTTTAAGTTTCATCAAATGCAAATATTATTATATGAAAAAATTGTGTATATATGTATTTAATTTTTTATTATCTTCAAAAAGTAATTAAATCATAAGAAATTTAATGTCATATTTTTAATAAGATTTGAGTAATTAAATATATTTAATGAGGTTATGTTAATAAAAAATATTTTTGTAAATATATTCAATAATATGCTATTGTAACCAAATATGAAAACCTTAGATTCTCAAAATTCTTATATAAATATTTTTAGGAATGAGTAACCAAACAAATTTTAGCATTTTCATAAATCATGATTTCGGGATTTATAATTCTCATAATTATGATTTGTGGTATAAAAAGTTTTCTTTCCTATCAAACATCCCTTAAAGATGATAAGTCAAATTTCAAAATTAGTTATGGACAAAATCAATAGATATTTCATATCAATAATATAATAATAAAATATTTTTATTCATTAAATATTTAAATACTTAGATCCATTACGCAATTTGAACTTAGAGATTGAAATAGCAAAATTGATGTAGTTTACTAGTCAGAAAAACAATTAACCTTTCATTTTCTTTTTCTTATATAACTACTTCCAAACATGTCCTCAAAATAAGAGAATTCTAAAATCCGTACTTTCTTAGTGAGCCGAGAATTGACAAAGTCATGTACTAGTTTGAACTATGGTTGGTTTCTCTTCATTCTTTTTATTGTTTTTCCAATTAACTGTAACTCTTATAAACTTGCACTTGCATAGTTGTACATAATATAATTAACATTATGCAATTTGAACTACGTTCTTAGTAATCAGACAACCTCTATGGCTAATAGGAATTGACCCAGAGACAAGAGAGCTTGGAAAGCATTGAATAGAAAAGAGACGAGACAATCCATTTTATATCACTATTATACAGTACCAGTATATGCAACAAAGAGAGAACATGCAAGAAGCTATTGTGGTTAAACAGTAACAGAATGATTACACCTAATTGGTTATAGTTGTCAGTTACATAGTCTAATGCCCAACTTGAATTAACTATGAGTTCTGTTTTGCACACAAAAGCATATTAACGCACTCTAGTATAACAAGTATGAATCAATGTAACTGAAGTTTACAATCTTAAACTTCATCTCCACTCCAATTATTCTTAACCTTTGGACCTGTGGGTCCTTCCTCTCCCACCACCTCACTTGGTAAACTCTTCACAATCTTTTCAAAAGCAGATTTTAGCTTTCCCGGCAACATCTTCTCAATCTTTTTCAACTCATCATCTATTTCGTATTCAATCTTAGGACCCCATTCCCTAAAGTAGTTCAGCCAAGGAGGCTCTACAACTGTAGAACCCAAATACTCAGCAGAAACCAATTCAAATTGTCCCATATCCATCACATTGTCACCTTTAGCAGTATCATTCCTTATACCTATGTCATCTTCCCCTTGTAGATTAAGGCCAGCATGAGGGTATGATGCATGACCATGCAAAGAAGAATAGAATAGTGGTTTGTTCCCACCACTTTGGAACTCAATCTGAGATGAATCAAACCATGTACCCTTGCTGTGTTGTGAGAAATAGACTTGATATAGTTCACCATTGAAGTTGCTTACCCTTAGTGTCACATGCTCCCAGTCACCAACATGTTCACCTATCTTCCCCAATTTAAGAGTAATGAACTTAACTTTAGCTCTTGAAGGCCCATTGAATGGGTAGAAGACCCATATTGCAATGTCAGTGAAGGTTCCTCCGAGCATTGGCTTCACATGCACATAACTTTTAGCACTTTGCAAATCTCCTTTTTTAACCCTCTCTTTGTTGGCTGCATCAACAGGCAGGTCCAGCCAATAGGCACCATCGGTGTTATGATCCTGAGGGAGGTTAGTGCCATTTGGTTCTATTGTGACAGGATTTGACTCTTGCCCTTTCTTATATAGTAGTGCCTCATTGGAGAAAAACCAATTCACAGAAGATGGTAAGTATTCTTCATCAGGGTGCAAGCACATAATTGGAGAGTAAACTTGGAGTATTGCCTTGATTTGTTGTAGATTAGGCATGTGTTTTGGGATAGCATTGGTGGTTTTCAAACAAGCAATACTTGGAGGGTTGATGGTGCTCCCATTTTGAGCAATAAAGGTGCCTACGCTAACACTAGGAGCTTGGATTCCTCTATTGTTGGGTCTAACATCATAAACACGGAAGCTTCCTGATTCCCAAACCAATGAACTTGTTTCACATTGGTCAGTGAGGTCTGATCTGACACACCTAATTTTTTCAAGGGAAGGCTTGTTTGGTGTGTTGGTGACAACATGGCCCAAAGCTTTGTACCCATCAGGTGATATTGGAAGCCAAACATAGATGGGACCATCTTGACTAATCTTCAATGATGCACTGTTCCATATAAGTGTGTAATCAATTGGTTGCTTTAAAGTGGAGTTGTTTATACTTTTAGATACATCTTTTGCCACAAGAACCCATCCAAAAAGAGGCTTGTTGTTGGGTTGACAGTAGCTACCCAACATATAGAAACCTTGCGGTATTCCTGATGGTTCAAACATGGTGAAACCTTTATTGTCAGGTCCACCACCATAGGTGCCCCAAACTTTGTTGAATGTTGATATTTGAGACACTTGCAACCCACCTAGATCAATTATTCCACTTGCAAAATCACCACCTGCATGTACCAATCATAATTATGCATATACTAGATTTTTTTACAATAGGAGAAAATATGATGAATCACATTATGGATACCTGGAGGCCAAGATGAATTTGATATAGGTACAGGAAGCTTGAATATGGTATCAATGGGGAGAGTTTTCTTTTTCTTGAAGAAATTCTCCTCACTTGTGGTAAGAAAATCATTACCCATTGTTGAGTTTTCCATTAAAGAATGGATTTCAAATTTCAATGTATGATTAATATGGCTATTAGAGAATAATAGAGGTTTTTGCAAGAGGTGTAGTATATTCCTTTGAGGATAATTTTGAACGAAGAAAGATCTTCATATATATATACACAAAATGTAAGGGTTGTTCCTAGGATGTGTCGTACAAGGAAGCTAATTTGGTTACATAGACAGGCTTCTAAACATTGTTGAACTTCACTTATACACCAAGTTGTTTATTAAACAAATAACTTGCTTGACTTCTTTATCTTTGTATCCCTTTTCATATGGTTGATGTTTTATGGAATTGAAACTCTACAAGTTCATCCATTACGGATTATCAAAAGAACAAGCATATGCAATACATAAAAAACCCGTGACTTTGTCACGTAGAGCTAAAGGTTCCTTTTGTTTCAAACTAATCTTACAGTTCAAGTTAGCTGCAACATCAAATGTGAAAGCAATTTTTTTTGAAACAATTTAACAAGGAACTATATTTAGCAAAATGGGTTTTGAGTGGAGATTTTTCTAACATAGCTTCGTTTGTCTCCCTGTCGAGTTTCTTTACCTACTAGCTAACGTTGCTTTATTTATTCCCAGATGTGGGAATATTCTGCAGAAATATAGTCCAAAAAGTGGGGACACAAATGATGTGATTAATTGCAGATAAAGTGAGCCTGGAATGCTAACTACATTACGAGTGTTGTTAAGTTAAAAAATAATAATAAAAAATAGAAGTAAAATAACTTTTTTATAACTTAAAATTAACTTATTCATATTTTTTTTTTTTTAAAATAATTTTAGGTAAGTTAACAAGAGAGAATTTTCACACATTAACTTAAGTTTTTTAGCTCATAATTTTTTTCTTAAAAAATCTTTTTCAGAAATACTTGATTAATAATAGGTCAAGGTTGTGTACAATTATTGATTATTGTGTAAATTGCAAGGGGGCAAAGATGATGTGATTTGACAATCACCTGATGGCTACTTGCTTCCCGTAATGCCAAAATCATCGATTGAAGATTGATATGTTGCCACCAATAATATTTGAGAGCACTATTAATATGCTTAAAATTTGTGAATGTCTATGAAGATAAAATCTTGGGAGATATATAGTTTTAGTTACTATTTTAAAATTTAAATTTATAATCGTTGTTTTAATATCTATATATATTCTAGAATTTTAATACTTTCGCTTTTAAATTTATTCAGCTCTCATTTTTTTTAATTCCTTTTCTTCCTTCATCTTTGTACTTTTTCTTTTTAATATTTGAAGGGATTTGTCAAAGGGATAATCAATATGAAATCGTAACAATAGATAATAGCATACAATTCATTTTATTTGTAGGTTCTATAATTTCTTAGATGGCCTCAAAAGAAAAAAAGAATAATAATAATTTCTTAAACATGACCCTGCTTGCCCCTGCACAACATAGTGCTCTCTTTGTACCATCTCTATGCTTCTTTATATATCCCGATATTTTCTTTTATCGATTTCCACATCCTTTCACAAATTTATGTGAATAGTTTTGTTAAAGAAGCAAAAGAAAAAGGTACGTGAAACCATGAAGATCTTAAAAGTAGATAAAATTAGTATAAATATTAATTTTAATGATTTTTTTTTTATTCTTGCATGGAAATAGCAAAACTTAGAAGATTGGCAACAACGTTTAAAATGTCCGGGAGCAAAGTTTAGAACTCTAGTTATATATTGGAGGACAAAATCTAGCTATATAAAACAAGAACAGTGATATTTTGTTTTTTTTCCTTGGTCTCTCATTTTGACTATTTTCTTCAATTATTTTATTCTTCTTTTTTAACTCTTTTTCTTTTAATTCATTTTTACTATTTGTGGTAAAATAGCAACCTTATGAACTTGAGGAGGAGTTAAATCAAATATAAACAAAGTCTCGTATTATTAGAATAAGAAGATGAACATGAGTTATAAACACACAAAATCTTTATTAGTATGAGGTCTTTTAAGTGTGACAAAAAAAAAGACTCTATAAGAATTTAAGTTTAAAGTTAACAATACCATACTAATATGAAGATATTTATGGATTCTTGGTGAACAAACAAGATATCATACACCTTATATAAAAAAATTCTCTCCACAATCTATAATAAAATATAAATGTAAAATAATTCATTAGTTGTATCAAAACTCATGATTGAATTAGTTGACCAGTCTAATATGGAGGTTGTGGATCCATGATCCCTAATATAAAAATCCTCCCTAACAATGTGGAGGTCATGTGGTGTGTCCCATTTATATAAGCTAGGTCAGGCGGCTTATGTTGTAGATGTGAGCCAACAATAGTGTATTTATTTAAAGTTCATTAGCATATTTCATTGAATGACAGGTTAAGTCTTTGTTTAAGGAGAAAATTATTAAAATATAAATAAAGTCTTATATTGTTAGAATAAGAAAATAAACTTAGGTTTATAAACACATATAAAGTCTTCATTAGTATGAAAGCTTTTAGGTGATAATTAAAAGCAAATTCATGAAAGTTTAAATTCAAAATATATAATATATCATACAAATGTGAATATTTGTGTTAAGTTCTTAAAAACAAAAAGGTATCATACATCTCTTAAAAAAAACCTTATCAACAAACTACGTCAAAATACAAAACAACCCCTCATATTTAGGAATAGGAGTAACACCATTTCGGATTTTGGAGGATGGAGGTAGTTTTGTTCCGATGGGTTGAAGGTATGTTTACTTTGGAAAAATTTGTCATTTTCAATAGGGGTGTAAGCAGGTATGAATAATTTGTGAATCTGAGTTGATCCAAATCAATACAATAAGTTTAAATCGATTTTTTTTAATGTTCGAGTCAGATTCAATCCAACCCCGATCAAAACTCGACATTATATGGGTCGGGTAATGAATTTTGTGTTTTCAATCTGTTACTCGATACAATCCGATCATATATAATCATAATAATATTTATAATAATAATTATTATTATTATAGTATTTAAATGATCATTTGTTTAAGATAATACTTATTGTTACTTTTAATTAAAAATGAGTTTTGTGTCTTAGGTTGATTGCATTGTAACAATATAATATATTTTTTTAAAATTTTTATTTTGTATTAATTAATGTTGATCTTTTGAGTTGATAATAATGTAACAAATTAATAAATTTATTTTAAAATCTAGTTTGTATAATTGTTTGCCCTATAGATTGATAGCATTGTATTTATAACAATATATCTAATGATTTACATATATTTTAAAATATTCAAATTTCATAAAAAATAAATAAATATAATTATATTGATTCGATTAATCCAATTCAACCCAACCCATTTGTGATTGGGTTGGATTGGGTAGAGTTTTAAAAAAAATTATAAACCCAATCCAACCCTACCAGTTAAATTTTGATTGGGTTAGATAATGGATTTATCCAAGCCCGACCCAACTTGATCCGCATCCATTCCTAATTTTTAGGGTTATTGATTATTCTATATAATGACACTTGGTAACAAATAAAAAAGAATTTTTATATAAGTAAATTCTATAATATATTTTACCATAAATTTTAATATATCTTTCAATAATTTTAAAAAAAATATATTTCTAAATTTCTTAACCATTCACTCTAACATAATTATTATAGTTTAATTTATTTACATTATGATTGCATATAATTTATACATCATCAATTAATAAAAAATAATTATTGATATAATGTTTACGATAATTATTACAAAACTCAAAAATACAAAAACTATTTACACAAACTATTAGCATGACAAGCTTTAGACATATTTACATTGGTTTGGATATTTCACACACTCTCTTTGATGAAACTTAATAAAAATTACAATTTTGTAATTTTGAATAAAATTTCACCAACATGCAAGTGACATGAACATATTTCAGCGTGGTGCAAGAACTATAGCTATTTGCATCTCCAGGGCGTGAGTGTGAGGCCCATTGAAGTCACCGGAAGCGAACTCCGGCGAGCGGTGGATGAGCGCGGGCGAAGGCGTGGCATTACTCCGGCAAACGGGACAGTTGGAATGTGAGTAGAGCCACAAGGTTTTAAATTCTTCTCTTTTATTTATTGTTTTATTTATTTTATTTTATTATTGTTTATTATTTTATTTATTATTTCATTTATTATTTTATTTATCATTTTATTTATTATTTTATTTATTATTATATTCATTATTTTTCTTATATGCAATAAATAAATAAATAGCCATGTAGATAATATGTATTTTTGTCTTATAAATAATTAATAAAAGGGGTAAACATTCAAATTATTATTTATTATTATGCTAAAATCGTCATGGGTTACCAAATTAGGACATTGTAGGGTGTCTTATATCTTCCATACACGTAATCGAACCCCGAACCTGATTCTGGCTATCAAGGCCATAATTAACTTTTGAAAACCTATTCTTTTTTTCCAATATTTTAAGTAAAATATTGGTGGTTGTTCCTTTGGACTTTTTTCAAAAATCATTGGTTAGGGATTAGTCTGATCTCTTGGCATTTCCTAATTGATGAGATTTCCAAATGAAAGTCCAAATCATCTGTGGATAAGATCGGATTTTTTTGGGTTCTGACATGCCTTTATACACTTTTAATAGAATGTGAGTTCCAAGACAATGACTTTTGATCTATTAATGTATAAAACATTCATGTGAAAATTCAAACATGTCATTCATAATAAATAATGAACATTAAGAACATGAAAATAGTTATGCTTCGTCTAATTTGCTTCTCTTACAAATGTTACTTTGTCTTATATAGTTTGAAACAATAAATTTTTGAAAATATTTTCTTGCTGAAAAACATAGTGCTTGTTATCATTAAAAATTACGAAAAATGAGGGACCTAAGATCGGTTTTTGACTTAACACATTATTGAGAAATATTATATATTATCGAGTTAAGGTTAAGGTGTTTGGGGGAGGAAATGTTGAGGAAAGCGCTACATGGGAATTTGAGAGCCAAATGAGAGAGTACTATTTGTTTTTATTCACTTTAGGTAATTTCGGGGATGAAATTCCAAAAAAAAAAAGAGGGGGGAAGAATTGTAACACCCTATGTTTTTGCTATTAGATTAATAATATTTTTGTTAAAAAATTTAAAGAGTTAAGGTTATAGGACATTTATCCCTTTTTGGTATGAATTGAGTTGCTTATGGGTTCTTATGGAAACCCTAAGGGTATGCATTGAATGGTTATGATATGAGTGGTTAATCAAATTGTATATAATTATATGAAATTTGTGTCTTATGACAAATTGTTGGATGAGAAATCATTGAACATATGTATAAATTGAATTCATAATATGAAGGAGTCTGTGTGACATGCATCATATACACGTAAATCAACAAATTGACAAATTATTTAATATGCACTGTGCATATCTTGAGATTGGTACCACATACATGCAAATCGAGAGTTCGTACTATTGCATTCCACATTTGCATTTGTCTGAATTACTTATGATTGATGCGTTGTTAATGAGTGATTATGTTGGTAGTGATAAACGAATAATGGTGATAGTTGATTGTTATTATCATGCTATTGTATAAATAAAATATGGAGTGTGTTTGACTATCTGTTTCTTATTCTATGCCATAAGCTAGAGTGAGAAGTTTGAGGCGGGTAAGTACATACCCGTACCCGTACCCGTACCCGATTTAATATATCGGGTTTTACCCGTACCCGTACCAGTACCCGTACCTGGTCAAACCGGGTATTCCCCGTCAAAGTCGGGACGGGTTCAGGTATTACCCGCGGGTATTATTTACTTTGTTGATGACTAATTTTTACTGAAAAACATGAGGGACCACCTTTAATTATTGACTAATTAAATAGGTACATCTGAATCTCATTTGAATAGTTTATAGAAAATTTCCCATTGAGAGGATTTCATTACCAGTTTCCAGATACCGTATTAAATCATTCTACATAATAATTCCTTAAAACCATTAATCTAACAGATAAGAACCTGAAAAGGAAAAGATAACAGTGAGATTAATACCCAAAGATCTGCCCATAAACTTGCTCCTGACTTTGGAACTACGACGGCAACATTAGATAGGCGTTTAGCAGCAGGAATAATATCACTACTCCATCCAACAGCTACCCACACATCTCCAACTCCAAAAGCCTTTAAATAGTTTGAACTATCAAAGAGTCGGACCTTCAAATACATAAAATGATTAGCAACTTAGACTATTGTTTAGTAAAACATAAATGAAAAAAATTCTGTCAGGTATTGATTTTTATAGTTCTCCACCTCTATTCGGATAAAAATTAAAAAAACAACAGCAACAGTTGAGTGATCATCCAGCAACAATACCTGTTTGGCTAGCAAAGCCAGATTATGTTTAACAGCATCTCTCCCACCATTAACTTCTGCGTTGATATCATTTGTATTGTAGGAAGCCCCCATGTACTTCAAAACTGCACCAACAACTTCCCTAGGAGAATCAACCATTGAAATTCTCCCTGCAAGATCAGGCCTCCACAGATCTGCCCAGTCCTGCAATTTCAGTTGACAACTTGACATACTCTCACAATTACTCCAAGAGTTTTCTAGTATCTATTAAAAACAACTTACCTCTATAGGAGCCAACTTATGCTTTTGAAATTTATTTGTCTTGTAAGCTATTACCATGCAGCCCCATCGATATGGAGCAGCCCATATATCACCTTTAGGATCTATTTCCCCCTCACAGTTCCTGCGTAAGTATACCTGGAACTTTGTTAGGTAACGTCACATATACTATCAAGAGACAATCCAAAAGGATAATAACTAACTCAGCATTGTATATGCTATAATTAACATATGTAAAACAAATCAAGGAGATATATATACTAGGTTCTTACCATGATGAATATCAATAGGCGTTCAAAAGGAACAATAACTAACTAAACAATGTATATGCTAGAATTAACCTCAGGCATATGCAACAAGAATCAAGGTGATATTATACCAGGCTCTTGCTATGAACATTCCAAAAGGATAATAACTAAACATTGGATATGATATAATTTACCTCAGGCATATGCAACATTAATTGAGGAGGTATACATATTAGATTCTCACTTGATGCTTTGTTATAATCTTCATTAGCAAAGTTAATTTATTTTTCTAATATGTTCTGTAGTAAAATTATGTTTTTGTAATAAAAAGAAGGTATAGTGATGTTACTGCACCATGCAAGCAAAAGCTTGTTATGATTAATATTAAGGTTGCTATCAAGAAATTTATTGGTCAGTGTGTTAGGATACTGGGTTTTGGCCTAAGCCTAACAGCTGGCCTGAACACCAAATGAGTTACAATTACTGATGTGGCTAGTTGGTTAGGGGAGGCAATGTAGTTATAGGGAGGGGACAGAAGGGTCTTCCCTTCTTACAATTGATTCAAAGGCTTTGTGAATCTGTAGTACAAATGTTACATAGCTCACAAAATTCTCAATCTTCGAAGTGGAACTTTATATTTCGTGGAGTAAAGGCAACTGCTACCATTAAAATATCAATTCAAGATTGCCTAAAGTTGATTGATATTGGGTTCGAGAGCCAACCTTGAGTTTTTCGGTACTCTGGACAAAATAAAAAAATAATGCCCCAATAAATATTGGAATATTACTTATGACTCCGATTCCCAAATCTAAAAGTGTAGACATACAAATAGTTAAACACATAGTTGCATAAAAAATAACTAAACATACAGTACATTCATACAAGATTATGAATTACCGTTAGAGTCCATTATGCATTGAAAAAATGGATCAATAATGATGTCATATCGCAAAGAAACTCGCAACAGTGAGGTGGAGATTTATAATTAGATTTGCTCATAATTAGATTTTGAGATTTCAGTTGAATAAGATAGGTCATGATTTAAAAAACAAAAATAAAATCAAAGAAATTAGAAATAAAGGGAAATGGAGAAAATTAAAGGCAACTCCTATTTATGATTTTACATTAAGACTTATGGAAGTTTACACTAAAAAAGAAAAAAAAAAGTGAATGACATATCACACTTTCCTCTTTACATTTAATATTACTAATTTATTTTTTAAAATTATTAGTAGATTTTTTTTACTATAGTAAAAAAAATCGATTATTGATTAATTATTCATAATTAATTTACTTTCTCCAATAGATTTCTAATAATTTAAACATGTATTTTTATATTATTTACACTAAATAATTATTTTTGGTGTCCCTCCAATAATGGGGCCCTAGGCGGTTGTCCCACCAACCCGTGCTCAGGGCTGCCATTGTTGGGTTCATTGGCTGTTTAAAATATTGAGGAGCTGGTTGTCTGTACTATAGGACCTAATAGAGTTAGAGAACTAATTGCTATGCTTGCATCATTTGATTATGGGAAAGATGGTCACTTGCATCTAGTGAGAGAGGGGGGTCATTCACATTTTTGAACTGCTCATGCGGATGATATGACTGGAGAAAACAATGAATGGGTTCTATTGCAGACAGTTGTCAATAATCCTAATATTTTAATGTTTGAACACCATTTTGCTATAGATCTTCTCATTTGTCACGGTGGGTTTGATATAATTTGTTTTGAAGTTGACACGTTGAATACTAAAATGCTAAAGGTGGTAAGATTTCTTTCAAAGGTGGTTTTACTTGCTTCAGGTGGAGCTGGACATATTCATCCTAAAACTACAAATCCTCAGGTAGTTGCTGAAGATGAAATAGCCATGACACACTGAGCTCAAGATGTGATTTTCAACATGGATTTTGTGCAGTTCCACCCAACTGACTTAGTTGATGAAAGGTTTATTAAACCAATCATGCATAGGGTAAATGCACTTTTGATATTTGAAGCTATCATGGGTGATGGAAGCATCTGTTAAGAATCTCTTCTCGAGAAAGGAAAAGAAGAACAGAATCCTAACCAAGATCAGCACACCCACACAATTAGACTGAAAAAACTGAATGACTTTTGTATTGATTATGAACAAATTTCTTACAAGAACCAAGGCATACAAGTATAACCCCAAAAGGAGCACTCTCCTTTTCACATTGGAAACTTCCGGTTAATACAAATTTTACCAAAAACTCTCTTAACTAAACAATAGAGGTCTTATTTAAAGAGTTTACAACAGAGTAACAGATTTAACTAACACTCTTGATCCAGTCAGCTTACATTTACAATACGCCCTTTTCATTTTTTCTTTCTATAATAAACCTGTATTCTATAATAAACCTGTATAGGTTTCTACTGCTCTCTAAAATCATTCCTTACAGCATCCTTCATAACTAAGGCATGGAAAGGTTTATGCTGGTTACCATTGGTCCTTCAATCTTAATAATACCTCATTCATTGGAAGCAAGCGATCACTTTTTAGTTTTTATTAACTGGAATAAGGATTTCTCTTTGTGTTGTTAAAACATCTTGGGAAACATGGGGGAAAAACTTGAATCCATCTAGTGTCTATATTCAACAACACCCTATGAATGAGCCTATTGTTCCAAATTTAGCTGGTTTCTTATTTGACCCAGGTGGAAATTCTTATACTTTAGGATTTTAGGTTGCGTTTAGTTAAAGAATTTAGAATTTCAGGGAGTTTTAAATTTTAGGAATTTCAATTGCTTCAAAAATTTTTTTTTTTTTGATAAAGCAATTAAAATCCTTCATTTTCAAATTTTCTTGTTTGGACAAAGCAATTAGATTTCTTCATTTTTTATTTTGATTAAATAACCAACTTTTTATTTTTAAAACTTCATATTTGAACAAAATAATTAAATTTCTTTTATTTATAAAATTTTTTATTCATTATAAAACAATTATTTTTATTTATAAATTATATTATTTAAATAAAATAATTAAAATTCATATTTGTATTTTATTTAACATAAAATTAATTACTAATTGCTAGCATAAGTCTATAGCAAAGACCAACAAATTGCTAGCAGTAAATTATTAACAAGTATAAATCCAATTTTCCAAGTGATTGTTACTAACTATGTACGGTGTATCACACATTGATGTACTACCCAAACGTATAGAGGCTTCGTGTGACTTAATCCTTCTCTAATTCCTGTAAAAAAAATAATTTGAGAACTAAAATCAACTTAAATCATACTTACATTACATATATTAAAAACATTTTATCCAAGAAAAATATTTAATTAGTTCTGCAAATCATCTTTAAAATAATAAAATTTTTGTTCTGGGACAACTAATCTCTTGAATCATGAATAATTAATATAATTATAAGCAATTTCAGAGTTCACTAGCAAGAACTTGCATGGAGTTCTTCTATTTTATAATTAATTTAATATAATTTATAAGGTAATAACTAGTTATTTAATTGTACAACAGAAACTACTTTTTTTTCAAAACAACAATTTTCACCACACAATCATCCAAGACAACAAATCAAATGCCACTTTAGTACAACAACTTCAAGTTGTAAAGGCACCAAATGCATACAAATGGAAATTAAATTACCAAACATATGAACACAAAAAACACTAGATTAGAGAATAAATCAAATATGAGAAAAATCAAAGATAAACAAAAAGTAAAACACATATAGAAAACCCTAGATATAGAAGAAATCAGAAATTACAATAAAAAATTAGAGAGAAACGAACAGGGATCAACTTAACAAAATGTGAGATAGAGCTTGAGCAAGAATGCCAAGATATTGAACAAGAGAGATCAAATGAGAGAGAGACTCGAGAAAGAGAGAGAGACGTGAATGTTTCAAGCCAATGAGCATGGAGCAAGAGATCCAAGCCACTGAGCACGGAACAACCTGAGAGCAAAAGTGACTGAGAAATGTTGAAATTCTTTTGTTTTAGGTGGAACTTGAAATTCTGTAATTTTATTTCATTAAAATTCTAATATGAAATCCTAAAATTTTAAATTCCTTTCTAATAAAATATCCAAACAGTAAATTTTATAACAGAAAATTTAAAATGCCTATTTAAATCACATTTCTAATTTAAAATTCTTTACCCAAACACACTATTACAGCTTGGTCGGCATGCTTCATGAATCATGATATGGGACCGTGAAGGAAGTTGCTTTCAATGGCTACAAGTCCCTTATCCAATCCAAGCAAGGCAACTTCTAATATGGAACTTCAAGAATACTTCCAGTTATGGTTTGCAATGATGAATTTGTACTCTGAAGGCAGTTTATTGTTTTTATCCTTGAGGGCAAGGCTGTTCTTCCAGTGGCAGGTAATGTTAGGATACTGGGTTTGGGCCTCAGCCCAACAGCTGGTCGGAACACAGAATAGGTTAGAATTGCTAGTGTAGCTAGTTGGTTAGGGGAGGCAATGTAGTTATAAGGAGTGGGGGAAGGCATGAAGAATCTTTTCTGTTAGAACCTTGAGAAGTTGGGCAGCAGAGAGCCGTCTCTTCTCTGAGGAGCATTAGCTATGAGATTATAGGGGTCATCTCCTGTAATAGTTCTTTTTCTGATGAATAATACTTTTGTGTTTTCTATTAGACATGGTTCCTTTCAGAATAATAGAACTACAGATAATAGTGGTACTTCTTTGTCCAAGATTACAGCCTTGTTTGGTTAATTTTTTCCACAAGCATTTACAAGATGAGAAAATAATAAAGTAAAATGCATTAAATTTCTCCCACAAGTTAAAAAGTTAGATGAGAAAACTTATATTAAAGTTGAAGGTAATTAAGTTGGTTTTAACTAATGAAAAAAAAAATTTATTTAACCTTTTCATTTTCTTCTTTTGTTCGTACTTATGTTATGGAAAATTTCATCCCAACAGAGCCTAATAGTACTCTGTTTCACTTTTTTATTTTTAGATACGGTTATCCATTTTATGCTTCCTCAGAACTGCAAATGTTATCTCTTTACCGAAGCTCTTATTTAGGTTTTCCACCTTTTATCCCAAAATTATTTTTTTTCTTTGAAAAAAAATACAGAAAGAAAACACAGCTACAAGAAAACCTTATCCCCATTAGACTCTAGAGTTAAGATCTTTCAGTAAAAACCACTCTCCCTGTTAGATCAACAAATAGCAAAAAGATTATTATATTAATTATTAGGATAGAAAGGTCACTGACTATCATCGAATTCAAATGGAAAAAGGAACTGTTACCTGAATGAATGGAGCAACACAAGACAGAGAAATAAATAACCCCAACAGATTATTATATTCTTTTGTTGTTCAGTGATTTTTTTCTTATTTTATTTCAAGATTTTTTTATAACAATAATTTTATACATTAGATAGATAAATTTATGCATAATTGATATAATTGTTTTTAATATCTCATTAATTTTAGCTATAATTATTTGATTTCAAGTTATTTTTTTTTTAAAATATGAATTTTAAGTAAATTATTTTATTTTCTTATATTAATTATAGCAACACTAATTATTTCATTTGCTATATAATTTTACAATTTTACAACGTTAAATTTATCGGCACAATTTTAATTGCATTAATTGCTTTCAAATAGATTTTCTCATTTATTTATGTTAGGTTTTGAATTATTTTTAATTTGTTAGATATATTAATTTAAATATAAAATAATTTTAACTAAAGATCAATATTCATTCATGTGTTAAATTTTTGCCTCCAACCCCCCCCCTCCCCTCTAACAAATTTTTCTGGTTTTGTTCCTACCTGTGGTAGTGTGTTGCATCCTTTTTTCACTACAGTTTTCTAGCTCCCCCCATTTTTCACTACAACCTTATCCATTCCATAGTAAACTTTCAAGACTCTTCGGCCATTCACAGTCTTAGGCCCACTTTCAAATACGTCACATAACCAAGTGTGCACAAGCACTCATACAACAATGATGTCTTGGTTTGCCCCTATATGGTTTTCAAAATAAAGATATTCATTTTTTATACATGCTTAATGATGTACGCAGACACATCAAATAAAGTTGAACTAAGTTCAAGAAATCAATGCTTTCGTCATAAAATAAGCATAAAACCAATCCTGAGAGACAAGTTCGAAGGAGAAGAAATACAAAATGTAGTGTTACCTTCCATTTGTCATCTAAGCTTTTAAACCATTCCTGATCTTCTACATCTCTAATTGGCTCAATAAAAGCTTTTTTAATAGCAAATTTGAGCCATGAATCGCCAATACCAACAATATCTGCTGCCAAAGCAGATGCTGGGCCAATTCTACCTTTAGTAAAGGGAATTGATAGATCAGAAAAGATATTCTCAAGACTTGCATAATACTTCACGTTAAACTTCATCCTCCTCCCTTGAGAATTTATGAAGTCCTAAAAGTGAAGAAAAATTTAACATGACAAACTATAAAATAAGTTACTGCAAATCTAAATTTATTTTTTTAGCAACTATAAGTTGCTTGAAATAACATGGTAGATTCAAAGGAAGCTAGAGGACGAACTAGCACACCCATTCAAATGAACTGCTAATTGATGCTTGAAAAGAGTTTATAACATGACGCACTATAGTATTTTAGAGAAATTTTGAGCAAACAAAATCTGGATGGGGAAAAATACAGAAAGACCACTCCCAGGAACCCACAAGGAGAGAAATAAAGTGCAACCAATAAAATAACAAGTTAATTAATCACATAAAGCAGGTTAAGGAATATGTGTCACAGACCTTTATCCATGAAGGAGGTATGGAGCTGCGTAGAGCAACAACTTTCAGAGGAACAGTCAAAGCAAATGTTTTAGATTTCCAGGTATTAAAAGCTTCTTCTAATTCCTTGTCTACAACAGTTTCTTTGTTGTCTTGTTTTCTTCCATCATGATCATCTGCGACCATTAAACCACAAATAACAACATCAGCGAAACCTTTTACAGAGTTTCTTTTATTTTGATAAAATATCATGGATATCATCCTCCAGCATAAACCTCACAGACGAGAAAAAGAATAATTACGTGTGTATGTATACCCATAACCCAAGATAAGTGCTTATCATTATGACTTCGCAAAACAAATGCCAAAGCAGTCAAAACTCAAGAGAAATGATAGGTAGTAAGCACTATTGGATTTTATTTTACTTTTATTAGTAGGAAAAACTACAATGACAAAAATGAGGATCAAACATAAGGCCTCCATTAGTCCAATTCCCCACACTAGCCCCATCATAGTGATAGCGCTATTAGAATTTGACCAGATAGGAGACCCAGAAATAATCAACTTCCTTAATAAATGAAAGCAGCTAAAATAAATTATGAAATATGAAAATATAGCAAAAAGGAAAGAAAAAATTAAATTAAAAAAAAAAAAAAAAACACCCAAAACCCCTTCCCATCTTTCGTTCAATTTTCATATCTCTCCAATTTCCTGGTGTCACTCCTGAGTCCTGAGGCAGCATATTTCTTTTAAAGAAATAATAGATTTTCATTTCCCCCTCATTAAACAAATTCAGTAGGATTTAATTTCAATCAATGTGAAGGTTTGCAAATGTAATCTAACAATACCGCCAACTTAAAGGGAAGAAATTCCGCTTAAAATCTATGTTTCGGTGAAACTGTTCCTTATAATTCCTGCTAACATCAAGGAACCAAAGGTGCATTATCCTTCTTTTTTTCAAAATATTTTCGGCCGCCATTTGAATCACACTATCACGGGGACATTTTCCGTAATTATTAGGGAAAAAACATCATTCGTCGTTACGAGAGTTAGATAGAAAGCTAAATACCACACCAGCAACCACCGAATTCAACTACAATTAGCCATAACACAAACAACAATATATCAGAACAGAGAGTATTGGAACGCTTTCAAACCTTGAACAACATTTTTCTCCTCCTGAACCGGTGGAGAACCAGCGGGTAGAGCCGCCGCTGGCGGCGAAGAGGCCAAACAGAGGCGAACGCCGAAGCAGAGGAACATGACGGCGGAGACGGCGACGCGCGCATAAGCCTTGAGCGGTGGCGTCTGTGGACGTTCCTGGCGGTCGGCAGCGGAGGCTGTGGGAGACGCCGGCGAACGGTGCGGCGGAGTCCGGCGAGCGGAGAATGCAATTGCGGCATTGAATCGCAGAAGGGGTTTGGTGGGGATTATGAGAAAGGAATGACAATAAGGGTTTGGGAAGAGATAAGGGTAACGCAGTGAGTTCAGAGAGAGAGGGAAATGCGTTTGCAGCAACACGGGCATTGTTGAGAGACTCGAGGGAAGGCCAACATCTACACTGCACTTCCTGATAGGCAAGAGTCAAACAAAAAGTTCATGTACATAGTTTAGATCAAACCAACACAAAAATTGTGTCCATCTATCCTCTTTAATTCAATCTAGGAATAAAAAGAAGCAATTTTAATCTCTAAATTTTTTTAAAAAATTATAAATAAATTAAAAAGGAGATAATTTTAATAGATGGTTAATAATGGTTATTTAGAAAATATTAACAGTTATTTAATTATTTTTCTAACAAATAAGAAGTATAATGATTTACTAGAAGTAAAAATAAAAAATAGTTATTTGTAGTATATTTCTTTATAATAGGTATAGATGAGAGAGAGAAAAATTTTATTTAATTAATTTCAAACATTTATTATTTTATAAAGAAATTGTTAATTAAAAATGAGAGGCTTATCTTTATCTAAGTTCACACAAGGCACTAGAGTGTGTGGTGTCAAATGTGAGTTAAGCAGAAAGCTCTCTATTTATTCAAGGTTGGGTGTGGATGTTGTCATGCTATGTGCAGGAATGTGGGGCACTCCCTATCTTAATCACGTCGGGCACGAGTGGTGTGACATCGAGCGTGGGAGAGACAGGGAACTCCCTACCTTAGAGATGTCTGGCATCGGGTATGAGTTGTCTAATGAGAAGTTGTTATTTAATATGTTGTTTTACAATTGATTGATGGTGACTGAGTTATATAATGTAAAGTTGATTGTCTAAGTTGTTTGGCAACTTATGATGATATAGAAAGTAGAATATGATGTGAAGTTGTGAGCCGTTTTATAATGTCTTAAGTTGATTTGTAAAGGTGTTTATTCAAAGTTGTGAATGTTGCAAAGATGTGTTGTTTAAGTAATATATTGTAAAGTTGGAAGTTGAATGTTGTATGGGTTGAAAGTTGTTAAAGTTGATAAGTTGAATGTTAAAATATGATAAAGTTGTTAAGTTGACATGCTATAGATACGTGGGTTAGATATATGTTTTCACTACAATACATAGAAACTAAAGGAGAGTTAAAGATGTTTTCAAACTTCATATCCTATTGTGCAAATATACATTGTTGTGCTTTGAGAACTCGATTAAACCTTCAGCAAGTAAGTTGACCTCTAAAAGAGTAAGTTATTTTTTAGTTGTCTCTTCTAAGTTTTATGTGATATTTGTATGTAGATAAGGTTAAGGCACACATGTATAAAGCGACAAACCTAGTAAAGTATTGAGTTAAGGACTTAATATCTAACCTAGTATCGAAGGGTTGTGGTTTTTGGAAGATAGGTGGTGGGCTAATCTTATAGGTAGCTTAATATTATAGACTAATATCGTAGTAGAACCATACCTAAATTGTTCTATCTTGATATAGTACCATACTTCCTTGTTTAAATGGTGAAACTTGAGAAGTCAATCTAACTTATACTAGTCGTTATTTCTAGCCTTGTGCTAGCCACTATTTCTAGCCTTAGTGTCATGTCAGTTGTTGTATCTAGTATTGTACCAACCATTGTGATTCAATAGAGTAAAATCATTTAAACTACTCACCATAAGATGTTGGATATCTCTGTAGTTAACATATGTAATGACGTATTAAATGATATATATATGTATATATGTTGTTATGATGAACATGCTATGAGATGTTAAGTTATTATGATAATGTTGTCTTGTTGTGAATTGAATTAATATTGAATCTTTTTCACAAACTTATCCTATGTTTTCCTTGTGAATGAAACTGTGATGATTATACTTACTATGAGAGTAAGGTATCACATCGGAAGAGGCTAAATTTTTTATTAAGAGTGTTCCCAAAAGCAAACCTTAAGGAACAACATTCAGAGACGTTAGACCACAACTTTTCATTTGAGATTAACATTTGAGGTAAAATGGGTAGCGACAATTATATCATGTATGGGCATGAATTGTGAGTAGTGAGGTGATTCCCGAGTTTGTTTAGGTTTATATATATATATATATATATATATATATATATATATATATGACTAGTTACTCGTTGTATTATAAATATTTAAATATAATATTAAAAATGAAGAATATTCGAGTACAAAACTTAAATTCATATTATTAAATTTAATTAACATATTTTCACACAAAATATATTCTTGATTTGGAAATAAAAGTTTTGTTTTTGTTTTTTTTTTTACTTCTGTTGGATTATGTATGCATTTTTAAAAAAATATTTTCATACTATTATAAACTTAATCTTCAAAAAATTATTATATGATAGTTTTTTCATAATTTTCGATTAATATCATTATTAATATTATAAAAATATCAAATATGATATAATTATTTTTAAAGCTTATATGATTATTATAATTTTCAAAAAAGTACTTTTAATTAAAATTATTAAAAAAATGATATATTAAAATTTGAATAATTGCACTGGTTTGTTTATTAAATATTTTTATAATTAAAAATCCTTAAAAGTAACTAACATATGTATGATAGTGGCATATATATATTTTTTCTCACTTTTTTTTTTATATTTTTGTTTATTTGTATACTTTTTATTTTTATATCTCTCATTCAGAAAAATAATATTATTGTCAATTTTTATATTTATTTGATAATTTTGAAACAAAAGAAAAAATATTTATATGTGATTTAAACATAAAAAATATAATTTCTGATATTAAGTTTATATAATTACATAATCTTTTAAAATGATATAAAATATAAAAAAAATATTTTATTAGATACAATTAATTTATTATTAATAAAAAAAATTAACTAAATCTCCATAGGTAAACTGTCTAGTTATTAATTAATAGATAAATTTTATTATATTAATTAATATGTTGCAAATATTTTTTATTTAACCAAAAATTATAAATTATTCTAAAATATTCCTCAAAAATGCCACAGTAATATAAATTTATAATATTTAAACCAAATAAAAAATTTAAAAAATTTAAGATTTTATATAATTTTTTTATTATTTAAAATAATATCTGAATTATAATAATTAAAAATAAAGAATTTATATTATCTAATCTAAAAACTGATAAAGAATTAAAAATAAACATTATTTAAATTAAGTCTATCAAACCAATCTAATAGAGAAAATAAATAGCCCAATCCCAAATGAACCGCTGCTGCCTCACGGAGAAGACAGAGCAGAAGAGAGATCCGCCTCATTCCGCCGCTTCGGTCCGCCGCCACGCTCCGCCGCTTTAGCGCCCACTCCGGCTGCTCTACTGCATCAAGTTTTGTGTTGCGGCACTGAGCCGCTCCGCTCTGTTCGATTCTGCGTTTGTTCACATCATGGCCACCGCATCAGGTACACCTTTTCTCCACCTATTCTCAGATTCTCCTTTTCTAGGGTTCATGATGTCAATCCCACCTTATATCATTCGATTATTATTTTCTTTAACCAACATGTCGTTTTTTTCTGACCAACTTCAATTTTTGTTTTCAATTTCGTTTTTGGCTTTTAATTTTTTTTTATTTTCGGGCTCTAATATTGTTTCGTTCATTCGTCCCGTCCCAATCAGATTTCAATTTAAATCTGTTAATCAATACTCATTGTGTGTTGTTAGCTGTTATTATGAACAAGATGGTAATCCTGGTAGGGTCTGGTAAACGTTAAGTTTATTTATTTATTTTTATTGGTTTTGGGTTAATTGGTTTGAAACTAATGGCTTCGTTTTTTTTTTCATTTTTTTTTTAATTGGAATTTTAACGTGACTGTGTTTATCCCATTTTGCCTTATACCTCAATGTTTTGTTGAAACTTGTATGGCGTGCATTGCAGTGGCGTTTAAGTCCCGGGAGGACCATCGCAAACAGATTGAATTGGAGGAAGCGCGTAAGGCGGGGCTTGCTCCTGCTGAACTGGATGAAGATGGGAAGGAAATCAACCCTCACATTCCTCAGTATATGTCATCTGCGCCTTGGTATCTTAATGCTGACAGACCTGTAAGTTTTCCCCTCTCCCTCAAGTTTTCATAGTCTGTTGAGATCTGGAAGAAATTGTGATGTTTCGCTTTGACATATGAAAGCTGATAAATTCCTCTGCCTTTTTTCCTTGCTTGTAGAGTTTGAAACATCAAAAGAAATGGAAATCTGATCCCAATTACACCAAATCATGGTATGATAGAGGTGCTAAAATCTTTCAGGCAGACAAGTATCGGAAAGGTGCATGTGAGAAGTAAGTGGTCTCTCTCTATTTGTCAAATATGTATGTGCTCATGTGTTCACGGGTTATGGCTGTTATGTCTGCATATATGATGTATGCTCCCTGTCTTGCAACTTAAAAGGAATATGAAATTTAGTGATTGGTCTCTGTATAAGTCTTGGGTCATCCATTTATTATTTTCAGTGTTGATATCTTTTCTCCATGGCCTTTCAAACTATTGATTAAACTCTCAGGAGTTTGTGGTTTTAAGATGATATACATCATGTTTACTTGCATATGAATTATCTCTCAAACTAATGGGTTAAATGAACACTCACATAATCAGTTAATTCTACTGCCAACTTTACGAGGCTGGATTTACATATATCAGTTTTGACTTGCATCTTCTATTCAATGTGTATTAGGTTTTTGAAGTTATTTAAAATTTTAGTTATTGCTTTTGTTCTTTTTTAAACTACAAATAATGCGTGGGAGTGGGACCAAGTATAGTAGCATAACAGATGGGTGAGTTAACTTTGTAGAGTTAGAAACTTAGAATATGAATATTACTTATGGATATGTCTGGTTATTAAGATATGTTTTATAAATACGATTTTTAAAGTAAGTAAACTATTTTGAGTTTGTGATTTAAATTTTCTGAGGCCCAATTAGTTGACTACTTTACCTAATCTATAAAGTTTGACATATGTGCTTGTCTCTGAATTTGTTTATATTCTCATTTTCTCTTAAAAATATTTATCGAGTGCTTCAATCTTCATTTTCTTGTGATAGCTGTGGAGCTATGACGCATGATTCCAAGTCATGCATGGAAAGACCACGGAGAGTGGGAGCAAAATGGACAAACAAACACATTGCCCCTGATGAAAAGATTGAAACTTTTGAGCTTGACTATGATGGAAAACGGGACAGATGGAATGGTTATGATGCATCAACTTATGCTCGAGTCATTGAAAGGTATGAAGCTAGAGACGAGGCTCGAAAGAAGTACCTGAAAGAACAACAACTGAAGAAATTGGAGAAGAGCAACCAAAATGGTGATGATACTGCTGCAAGTGATGAGGATGAAGAAGAAGAGGAAGATGATCTAAGGGTAGATGAAGCAAAGGTTGATGAGAGCAAACAAATGGACTTTGCAAAGGTTGAGAAGCGTGTCCGCACAACAGGTGGTGGGAGTACTGGAACTGTGAGGTAATTTTCATGTTGCCATCATTTAAATAATGCAAGGCCTACTTAATTTGTCCCATACCTAAGATTATCTCTTTCATTATTTATCATAGTTGAATTGAAGCTGAAATATTTTATTCTTCAGGAATCTACGTATTCGAGAGGATACTGCAAAGTATCTTCTTAATCTTGATTGCAATTCTGCACACTATGATCCCAAGACTAGATCCATGCGTGAGGACCCACTTCCAGATGCAGATCCAAATGAAAAGTTTTATGGGGTAACTTGCATCAACAATGAAAATTCATATGAAAAACTAGTTTGTTTTTACTACTGTATTTAATCTTGTATTTGGGTTAAATCTGATTTTTGTATTTGTAGGGTGATAATCAATATAGAAATAGTGGGCAAGCTTTGGAGTTCAAGGAATTAAATATCCATGCTTGGGAAGCATTTGATAAGGGACAAGATGTTCACATGCAAGCAGCTCCATCCCAAGCTGAATTACTTTATAAGAGTTTCAAGGTCAGGAAGGAAAAATTGAAGTACCAAACAAAGGAAACCATTATTGAGAAGTATGGAAATGCGGCTGATGAGGACAAACTTCCAAGAGAACTTCTGCTGGGTCAAAGTGAAAGGCAAGTTGAGTATGATCGTGCTGGTAGAATTATTAAGGGCCAGGTAACATATGCATTCTAAGTCTTTACAATTAAGCATGCGCAACTTGCATATAAGTCTTAAATATATTTCTTGGTTGTGTAATGGACTTCTTACTTGATCTGTTAACATTTTAGTGTTTCACCATAAGTTTTAGTTTCAACTTTTAAGAATTTTGCTTTATGGTATTGCTATTGTTTAAAATGATAGATTTATTTATTTATATGATATTTCCAACAGGAAGTAGCACTGCCCAGGAGCAAATATGAAGAAGATGTTTACATTAACAACCACACGACTGTTTGGGGCTCTTGGTGGAAGGATCACCAATGGGGATATAAGTGCTGCAAGCAGACAATACGTAATAGCTATTGCACTGGTGCTGCTGGTATTGAGGCTGCTGAGGCTGCAAGTGATCTTATGAAAGCTAATATTGCCCGTAAGGAGGCTGCTACAGGTTTGTACACTAACATGCACTACACCAATGCTGTGCCCCTACCTCCTTCCTTTTCCATTGTTATTACTTTCTTGTTTGACAATTTTTCTTAATTGTATTTGGTATGTCCTTATGACTCTAATTCTTTTTATGAACCTAAACAGAGGATCCTGCACCTGTGGAGGAGAAAAGGCTTGCTACATGGGGTACTGATGTACCAGATGATCTAGTTTTGGATGAAAAATTGCTTGCTGACGCACTCAAGAAGGTAAATATCTATCTATAATGCACATATTTATGGTATTTGTTTGTTAGTGTCATTTTTTGTCTTATACATCCTGTGGAATTATTTATATTTTTGTGCAAATACCTTTTTTGACCTCAATTACCTAGGTCATGACCATTCATTTAAGCTAAATATTGCATGTAATTTCTTGAAACAAAGATGGCACGATTTGGCTTTACATTATGGATGCTCTTTTCTAGTATAAAACATTTTTTTTCTGAAGCTTTCAATCTTTTGAAATGAAATTATTCAGACATTTATTCATATGTTGTGCTGATTGTTGAGTTTTGGTGCACTTTCACAGGAGGATCTACGAAAGAGAGAAGAAAAAGATGAGAGGAAACGCAAATATAATGTTAGATGGAATGATGAGGTATGGTTTTTCTTGTCGCTGGTTGCAAATTTCATCTGTATGCATGCCCCTTGCAGATTTTAAAATGATTTCAATTTTGCAGGTTACTGCAGAGGAGATGGAGGCATACAGGATGAAGAAAGTACATCATGATGATCCAATGAAGGATTTTCTGAACTAAGCTTGGAAATAATTAAAAGACATGTATCACTTTGTTGATTAATGGCAAAAAGGCTTTCATCTCTTTCATTGCAAGTCCATGACCCTAACTGTGTTTTCTTACTGCCAGTTGGACTGGGCAGGCTGAATTATCAGCTTTGTACCCTTGATCCTTTGACCTGTAGCGAGAAAGAGGAACTATTGTTGTTTGTACAGTTTTTATTTATTTATTTATTTATTTTTACGGATCATTGAATCAGTTTCATTCTCCCATTGTTGTTGTACAGTTTTTTTTTACGGATCATTGAATCAGTTTCATTCTCCTATTGGGAGCACTAGGTAGACCTCCAACAACTCTTACCACCATGAGTTAAAAGGCTTATTATTTTGCACTCTTGCATGATCTTTCACTTTCACTCCCTCATCTATAACTGCTTGGCCCATGTGAACCATTAATTGTGTGCTTTTTTTTCACATTATTTCTCTTTACTCTCCAAGATCTATCTCACCACCTTTCCTATTATGCTTGTCGTTCATATCCCATTTTACTCTAAACCTTCAACCTTTTCACATCTCAAAAACCCCTTGTATTACTGATGTCTGTGTCTTCACACCATGGCCACCCTTTTAAAAATCATGTCTTTTTTGGTGTTCCTTTTGATCCCAGTTTCATCCCAGGTTGACCACCTTCTCCATGCTGGATTCAAGGATGAAGGTGCCAGCAACCTTACCTTGAATGGTGTGGCTGAGATACAGAAAAATGGAATACTCAGGTTGACAAATGAGACCAGCAGGTTAATTCCTTTTAAGTTGAAGAACTCCACCACTGATTAAGTTTTCTCCTTTACTTCCTCTTTTGCCCTTGCTATTGTTCCTGAGTACCCCAAGCTAGGTGGCCATGGCTTGGCTTTCACAATAGCAACTTTCAAGGATCTCAAGGCCCTACCTAGTCAGTACCTGGGACTTCTCAATTCCACTGATAATGGTAACTTCTCTAACCACATCTTTGCTATAGAGCCCAAAACCTTATACCCTCAAACCAAAATCCCATTCTTCCAATGGGGAACTCAAGTCCTATATCTTGCAATGGGATCCTAATATCTCACGTCACTCCATGGCCCGAGCGAACACTACAATTTGGTGTCATCACCTGCGCTACTCGTGTGTAGTTGAGAGACACGGTGAAAGGCTCTAATACCTATTTTACCTGAGAGTCACACCATAAAAGCTAGATGTTGTAGTTGGAGAGCTCAATGCCTTATAAATCCCACAAAAGAATATCAATGAGGGACTCGAGTTCATACCTTGCAATTGGACCCTAATGTATTCTCTCTTCCTCCATAGGCTGCTTATCATTCCTTTCTCCAGGCATGGCTTCATACTTCCTAATATTGGGAAAAACTCAAGTCCCACATTGACTAGAGATTAGGCAATTAAATAATATATAAGTGGAAAACAATCCTCACCTTACAAGCCGGTTTTGTAGGATTGAGTTAGGCTTAATCCACTGTTCTAAGATGGTATTAGAGCTATCCTGGATTCTTAAAAATGGGTCACCCACCATTCATTGATACATGCACCATGGACATGAGGAGGTGTATTCAAGTCCCGCCATTAAAAAAGGGTCACCTACCATTCATTGATACATGCACCATAGGCATGAGAGGAGGGTGTATTACAGTAACGCCAATAATAGATCATTAAAAAAGGGCCACCTACCATTTATTCACGTACCAAGCCCAATAGTGCTGGACGTGAGGGGGGTGTATTAGGAAAAACTCAAGTCCCACATTGACTAGAGATTAAGCAATTAAATAATATATAAGTGAAAAACAATCCTCACCTTACAAGCCGGTTTTGTAGGGTTGAGTTAGACTTAATCCACTATTCTAAGACCTAACAAAGAACCCTGGAAAACCGCTATTGGTTCCATACTTCTTTTATATTAAAAAGTTATTTTCTATACTAGTATTTTGGGGAATGAAATTGTATTCTAGGTGAATACATCAACGACAAAGCTTGTTCCTACAAGGTGTGGTTGCTTACAAGAATCAGTTTACACCATAATCTACAGACAAACTATTGACCTTTAAAATTTAAATCATTTTTAATGGTTTTAACTTAAGGGTATCAGTCTCCCTCTATGTAATCAAATAGATTTGATTTTGTTTAAATTTAAATTTTAACATTCTATAGATGGTGTCAGAGACAGCAGGTTTTGCTTGTTCTCGAGTGTCTCAGCTGTGCCTTTCTTTAAAACACTGTTTTTTGAGTTTCATTGTTTTCACTCCATGGTAACCTTTTCTTTTGATAATTTCTTGTCCATGTTATCTTTCCTGTCTAATTCCATATCTTTTCATGTTAAAAGTCTTATGTTAATATTTTTTAGGCTTATCACACTGTTCTACCTCAGATGAACTAAGCAGTTCATGAATTGTAGTGGATTTGCATGCTGCTTTGAGTTGAGTAGTCATGATGGAATAATTGTCATGAAAAATGTTTCTTTGATTGCAAAGTTTCATGCAAGTATTTGCATTTGACTATCAGTTTATGACTGTTGTCCCTGTCCAAACAATGTCCCTCCAATTTTCTGCTGATTTTCTTTTTGTGGGATAGGTAGTTCTTTTTTGGCTTTTTCATGAAAGATACACGTGATTGCTTAGAATAAAGCTGCAAATTGAATTTCCTTTTTCAATGATCCTATGTAGACATTTTATTATCAATGTAGGCTTTAATGCAAGTGCCTCATGCTAATACTCTATAATTATTATTGATGTCATTGCCTTGGTGGTGTAAATGAAATCATGCTACCAGAATTGTGACCGAAACATCTAAGTTTCTATGTCTACGCAACTGTGTCTGCAACCCCAATTTAAAACACTAGGACACAAGGTCCACAACAAAGACCCATACTGGAGAATTTAAATGATAAAGCTTTCTTAGGAGTGTTGTACATGCATAGAGAGTTTTTTTTTTTTTGCATACACTTAGATTGATATTTTCAATCACTGAATGTTTCGTAAGTATGTCATGGGGTTTTCTATTTTTGGGGGGCCCATTTGATACACAGATTGACAGTTCCGAAGATACACCTTCGTCAACCATTTTTTTGTTTAATATGTGGATTATGCAAGGTTTTTATATAGTCATATGGAAGTTGAATTGTGGGTATGTTCATATGCATCACTCTGCCCTGCCTCTCACTCATAGAACATAGGTACTTGATCAAAATTCATGGATTGTTCTCTCATTCATCTTCCGTAGGCTGCTTCTCATTTCTTGCTCTAGCCATGGCTTGATCAACAAACCCTGGCAAAGTTCTGTTGCTTCCCCTTAATTAAAAAGTTCATCCTTTTTATACTAAGGATTGTTGTTTTATTCTAGGCGAATAAGGTGACAAAATTGTGGATCTTCATAGAGTGCTAAGTGCTAACCATCTATCTTCATTTTTCTGTTATTTCCCCCATATCTTTACTTCCCTTGGTGCATTCATCTCTCAAACATGCCATCAAGCTCCAAAAGAAGCTGCTGTCTTTGATGCGAATTGTCCATAGATTCGGTAAAGGTAAGGGTGATATTTTAGACGAGTTCATTGGAAAACTAGGCTCATGATATATATACCTCCTTTTTTTTTATAAGTACACCTCCTTCTTTTAAAAAAATTTATAAAATATTATAATTTTTTAAAAAAATTTTAATTTTACACTTTCAACTTTCAATTTGCTATTTTCTTCTTCATATTTACGCACATTTTTTTTTCTTTCAATTTTCACATGCTACCAAAATAGGTGGGGTGAAAAAAACAAGGGGGTGCATGTAAAAATTGAAAAAAAGAGGAAAAATATGTGAAAAAAAGTACTAAATTAAATGTTGTGAATGTAAAATTAAAAAATTTAAAACAAAAAATTAAAAATATTTCAAAATTTTAATTATTTTTTTTAAAAGGAGGTGTACTTGTAGAAAAAAAGAGGTGTATATATCATGAACCTCTTTTAAATATTTTTCAGGACACAGCTACAGTTCTGTGTTAATTACATTTTCTGTATTTCATTTTTGTTTTCACTTGTCTCCATTATCAAGAGAAGTGACATTCCCTAAAAGTTAAACACATGCTGTTTTTTCAAGACTGGGAAAAAAGTCTCAAGCCCTAGAAGACTTTAACTCATGTTGCAGACCTTTTAGTTTTAGGGTTTGTGTTGAGTAACCCATGCCGTATCCCTATTGGCCTAGTGGTCACCATGTACCTGTACAACGCCATGCAATAACACTGCTATTCAACAACACTAGGTGTAAGCAACAAGTCTTGATTCTTATGTTTCCCCCAAGTTTTACTGTATGATTTCTTTTTTGGAAGTTCCAAAATGTTGATACAATTAAAATTGTGTAAGATACAAGATTATTTATTATTTGTTTTTTAAAAGATAGCATCTTGTTTTTAAAATTGCATGCATACTTCGCGTGGTATGCGAGCATGTAACTAAAGAATTAGATCCTCTAGAGCTTAGAATTGAACTGCACGGCATCCCAAACAGTTATAATCAAACGGTGCATGAATTTTGAAAACAAAATTATGCTTTTATTTTGATGGAAAAAAGAAGTATTTTCAAGGGTTTAGATCTTTGTAGTTAAAATTATAACAGTAGAGAATCGTGCTCCTTAACTAAATATTTTCCACTAATATATGATGCAAGTAAGCTGTGCTCTGTTTTTGTCTTTCAAATGTTGGGCATATAATACCTTTTGAGATTTTACATCTGAACTTTACAAAAGTTGGTATTTTTTCTTTCCTTACTTTTTTATTTGTCGTTCATTTCTAAGTTGTTTCCTTTCCGACGTGTTTTGTGATTGTACCTAATATTCTGTTGATTTTGTGTTTTTTAATTATAAAATGTAAACGATTATAAACATTGTAATTAAGCGGAGAAATGTTTACTTAGGTGAGAATTGTACAGGTATCGAATTTAGTATATAAGCATTTATACTTAACACAAGGTCAACTCTAATTTATTTTATTAAAAAATAACCACGAATTGAGATTCTCACGTGTCAAATTGGTGCAAATTTGGACATGCATAAGCAAAAGATAGAATTTGATCTGCACACAGTACAAAGGGACAGGGTAGGATTTAGCTCTGCAAGTTTGGTATTTTACCCTTTTAAAAATAAAATAAGGTCAAGATTCATAGTTGTTGAGAAGCTTGTGCCATATATGAAATTATACATGCACTAGATCATGGTTTGAGTGAGGAAAAGAAGAGACCAAACTTTCAATTCAATTAGAATAAGAGTTAATCACCTATATACTATATCGGTGTAAAGTTTTTTTTACACTGACAACCAATCAGATCTGTTAATAGTGTCATGTCATTTGTTCAATTAATTAAATTTAAATAAAAAATACTATTAACAAATCTGATTGATTGCTAGTGTAAAAAATTTTACACTGACAGTGTATAGGTGATTAACTCTTAGAATAAAAGAATGCAATTTTAGTTCCCTCATTGCATAGGAACACTTCCCCAAGATAAAATTAACAAGATAATCAGTAAAGTAGTCAAGAGATAAAATGGCCACACCAACCCTTTAGGCACTAGGAACCCAAACTAATTCAAATCGACTTAATAGGTTTAGATAAGATTCTTTTAGTGTCTGGATCAGACTTAATTTGATCCGATCAAAATCCAGCACTGTATGGGTTGGGTAATAAATTTTGTATTTTTAACCTGTTATTCAACCAGACCGGTCATATATAATAATAAAATAATAATAATAATAATAATATTTGAATGATTATTTGTTCAGGACAATACTCATTCACTCTTACTTAGTTATATTTTAGGTTAATAGTATTCTAACAATATAATATTTATTTTAAATTTTATTTTATATTAATTAGCAGTAAAAAGGCATTTCGTGCCTGCATTGTATTAAAAGAAAAAAATAAATAAAAAGAAAAAAAATGAGAAATTACTCATAAAAAAGGTAGTTATTGAAAAATAAATAAAAGATAAAATAGTCCATATAAAAATGGAAATCAAAAGTAGTTATTGAAAGTGGTAACTTAAATTTGATTAAAAAATATTTTTTCTAATTTTTTAAAATAAAAGGATATAATGGTAAAAAAATGGAGACCAAAGTGGTTACCCAAAAGGGTATCCCTTTATATATTAGTATAGATTAATGTTATTTTTTTGAGTTGATAATAATGTAATAAATTAATAAATTTATTTTAGAATTTAATTTATATCATTATTTTTTTATAGGTTGATAATATTATATTTACAGTAATGTATCAAATGATTTAAATATATTTTGAAATATTTAAATTTTTACAAAAAAAAAATTTAATTATGTTGCCCCAATCAATCTAATTAAATATAACCCATTCGTGATTGGGTTGGGTTGGGTTGAGTTAAAAAAAAAAAACATTTCACAAATCTGATTAAATCCAATCTGCTAAATTTTGATTGGACCGAGTATTAGATTCATCGAAATTCGGTTCAACCTAATCCGCTTACACCCTATATCGTAGTGTTTGTTGGAAACATAGTGATCCACCAGAGGGCTGAGGGTACCTGTGATGATGGAAAAGGAAGGAGAAGTGATAGATGTTCCTCTCCTTAGCTTCACCTATGCACAGATCACTTCTTTGGAGATTGAAACCAAATAGAATGAACACTTTGAGTGGAGGATTTCTTCGGATGAAATGGCCTAAGCTAAGGATGGAAGCATCCAAGCTTAAGCAACAAGAGATTGCTCACTTCAAAAGGTAGGAACTAGGTAAGTTTCTAGGGTTTTGAAGGCACTCTCTCTCTCTCTCTTTCTCGGTGACTCTTGAGGAATTTTGCTGAATAATGGTTCAGAAAATTCAAAAGTGATTTTACAATGAGAAGTATTCACTTAAGTAGCCACGGATTTGAGTAGCATTGGAGCCTAAACAAGGCTACACAAAATTGGTGCCTAAAGTTTGAATTCAAATTTGAAATTTGAATTCAAATTTAGGTGCACATGTGCAAGTCCGTGAGTTTAGGTGTTCCATGCATTTAGATTTAATTTAGATAGCATTTAGGGTTGCATTTGAGTAAACACATGTTCAGCCACTAGTGGTGAGGAACATGTGACTCAAATGCAACTTAAATGACTTCCAAATTAACCCTAATTTAACCTAATCCGTCCACTTAAGTTTTCCTTTTATTTTCCTATTCTAATGGCCTAAATAAAATGGCCAAACAAATACAATGGAAAGGAAAAATTACAAGAATGAGAATGAGCCCAATGTTGGGTACCAAAAGCCCAAAGGCCCATGAAGCCCAAAACTAGGCCCAATAAGCCTAAAGCCTAAAATGCTACTCTATGTGGTCCAAAATACAAGACCAAAATATATGATACCTATACTAACATGATGTATACAAAACATATGAAAATAGCTATAACAAAATATGGCCCATGAAAAGTTCAACTTGGGCCTTCCCAGGCCCATCAGGCCCATTGGGCCCTGACTGGCCCAAACCTTCATGTCTAGCCAACTCCTCTTGGCTCCTTCAATGTGTCACCCCTTGCCTTTCTAGGCATGATTCCATCATCCCCTCCCTCTTGAAAATGATTTGTCCTCAAATCACGAGGATCCATGGGAGAAAAATCATCACCTACATGCACAACAAACCATGTATAAGAGGTGACATGTTCAGAGAAAGAAAATGGAATGTGGATCCTAAGAGGAATCCTTCTATCAAGCCTAGCAAAGAAAACTAAACTATTGAAATTGAACTTCCTAAAAGTATAAATAGGATCATCTTTTAAGCATAACCTATAATGAAATCTTAAAAATGTAGTAACATTAAGACTAATACAATGGAAAGAATGATTCTTAAAAATTAAAACATCTTGCCTAAAGTACCCTAAATGGTAACCTAGGCATTTCCTAGAATATAAAGAAAATAAGGCTAGAAAACTTCCTAAAAATTTTTGGATTTGATTGTTTGTTAGATATTCATAATCATATAATACAACATGGCCCAAAGCTTTGTACCCATCAGGTGATATTGGAAGCCAAACATAGATGGGACCATCTTGACTAATCTTCAATGATGCACTGTTCCATATAAGTGTGTAATCAATTGGTTGCTTTAAAGTGGAGTTGTTTATACTTTTAGATACATCTTTTGCCACAAGAACCCATCCAAAAAGAGGCTTGTTGTTGGGTTGACAGTAGCTACCCAACATATAGAAACCTTGCGGTATTCCTGATGGTTCAAACATGGTGAAACCTTTATTGTCAGGTCCACCACCATAGGTGCCCCAAACTTTGTTGAATGTTGATATTTGAGACACTTGCAACCCACCTAGATCAATTATTCCACTTGCAAAATCACCACCTGCATGTACCAATCATAATTATGCATATACTAGATTTTTTTACAATAGGAGAAAATATGATGAATCACATTATGGATACCTGGAGGCCAAGATGAATTTGATATAGGTACAGGAAGCTTGAATATGGTATCAATGGGGAGAGTTTTCTTTTTCTTGAAGAAATTCTCCTCACTTGTGGTAAGAAAATCATTACCCATTGTTGAGTTTTCCATTAAAGAATGGATTTCAAATTTCAATGTATGATTAATATGGCTATTAGAGAATAATAGAGGTTTTTGCAAGAGGTGTAGTATATTCCTTTGAGGATAATTTTGAACGAAGAAAGATCTTCATATATATATACACAAAATGTAAGGGTTGTTCCTAGGATGTGTCGTACAAGGAAGCTAATTTGGTTACATAGACAGGCTTCTAAACATTGTTGAACTTCACTTATACACCAAGTTGTTTATTAAACAAATAACTTGCTTGACTTCTTTATCTTTGTATCCCTTTTCATATGGTTGATGTTTTATGGAATTGAAACTCTACAAGTTCATCCATTACGGATTATCAAAAGAACAAGCATATGCAATACATAAAAAACCCGTGACTTTGTCACGTAGAGCTAAAGGTTCCTTTTGTTTCAAACTAATCTTACAGTTCAAGTTAGCTGCAACATCAAATGTGAAAGCAATTTTTTTTGAAACAATTTAACAAGGAACTATATTTAGCAAAATGGGTTTTGAGTGGAGATTTTTCTAACATAGCTTCGTTTGTCTCCCTGTCGAGTTTCTTTACCTACTAGCTAACGTTGCTTTATTTATTCCCAGATGTGGGAATATTCTGCAGAAATATAGTCCAAAAAGTGGGGACACAAATGATGTGATTAATTGCAGATAAAGTGAGCCTGGAATGCTAACTACATTACGAGTGTTGTTAAGTTAAAAAATAATAATAAAAAATAGAAGTAAAATAACTTTTTTATAACTTAAAATTAACTTATTCATATTTTTTTTTTTTTAAAATAATTTTAGGTAAGTTAACAAGAGAGAATTTTCACACATTAACTTAAGTTTTTTAGCTCATAATTTTTTTCTTAAAAAATCTTTTTCAGAAATACTTGATTAATAATAGGTCAAGGTTGTGTACAATTATTGATTATTGTGTAAATTGCAAGGGGGCAAAGATGATGTGATTTGACAATCACCTGATGGCTACTTGCTTCCCGTAATGCCAAAATCATCGATTGAAGATTGATATGTTGCCACCAATAATATTTGAGAGCACTATTAATATGCTTAAAATTTGTGAATGTCTATGAAGATAAAATCTTGGGAGATATATAGTTTTAGTTACTATTTTAAAATTTAAATTTATAATCGTTGTTTTAATATCTATATATATTCTAGAATTTTAATACTTTCGCTTTTAAATTTATTCAGCTCTCATTTTTTTTAATTCCTTTTCTTCCTTCATCTTTGTACTTTTTCTTTTTAATATTTGAAGGGATTTGTCAAAGGGATAATCAATATGAAATCGTAACAATAGATAATAGCATACAATTCATTTTATTTGTAGGTTCTATAATTTCTTAGATGGCCTCAAAAGAAAAAAAGAATAATAATAATTTCTTAAACATGACCCTGCTTGCCCCTGCACAACATAGTGCTCTCTTTGTACCATCTCTATGCTTCTTTATATATCCCGATATTTTCTTTTATCGATTTCCACATCCTTTCACAAATTTATGTGAATAGTTTTGTTAAAGAAGCAAAAGAAAAAGGTACGTGAAACCATGAAGATCTTAAAAGTAGATAAAATTAGTATAAATATTAATTTTAATGATTTTTTTTTTATTCTTGCATGGAAATAGCAAAACTTAGAAGATTGGCAACAACGTTTAAAATGTCCGGGAGCAAAGTTTAGAACTCTAGTTATATATTGGAGGACAAAATCTAGCTATATAAAACAAGAACAGTGATATTTTGTTTTTTTTCCTTGGTCTCTCATTTTGACTATTTTCTTCAATTATTTTATTCTTCTTTTTTAACTCTTTCAACCCACCTAGATCAATTATTCCACTTGCAAAATCACCACCTGCATGTACCAATCATAATTATGCATATACTAGATTTTTTTACAATAGGAGAAAATATGATGAATCACATTATGGATACCTGGAGGCCAAGATGAATTTGATATAGGTACAGGAAGCTTGAATATGGTATCAATGGGGAGAGTTTTCTTTTTCTTGAAGAAATTCTCCTCACTTGTGGTAAGAAAATCATTACCCATTGTTGAGTTTTCCATTAAAGAAGAAATAGATTCGAAAGAAACTCACAAAAGAGACAATTATAACAACACAAACACAAGAACAAATGAACCAAAAATTAAGAACACTTATCTCCAAGAAGAACCTTGCTCTTGATACCAAAATTGATGGCAAAGGAAGGAGAAGTGATAGATGTTCCTCTCCTTAGCTTCACCTATGCACGGATCACTTCTTTGGAGATTGAAACAAAATAGAATGAACACTTTGAATGGAGGATTTCTTTGGATGAAATGGCCTAAGACAAGGACGGAAGCATCCAAGCTTAAACAACAAGAGATTGCTCACTTCAAAAGGTAGGAACTAGGTAAGTTTCTAGGGTTTTGAAGGCACTCTCTCTCTCTCTTTCTCGGTGACTCTTGAGGAATTTTGCTGAATAATGGTTCAGAAAATTCAATATATTCAAAAGTGATTTTACAATGAGAAGTATTCACTTAAGTAGCCACGGATTTGAGTAGCATTGGAGCCTAAACAAGGCTACACAAAATTGGCGCCTAAAGTTTGAATTCAAATTTGAAATTTGAATTCAAATTTAGGTGCACATGTGCAAGTCCGTGAGTTTAGGTGTTCCATGCATTTAGATTTAATTTAGATAGCATTTAGGGTTGCATTTGAGTAAACACATGTTCAGCTACTAGTGGTGAGGAACATGTGACTCAAATGCAACTTAAATGACTTCCAAATTAACCCTAATTTAACCTAATCCGTCCACTTAAGTTTTCCTTGTATTTTCCTATTCTAATGGCCTAAATACAATGGCCAAACAAATACAATGGAAAGGAAAAATTACAAGAATGAGAATGAGCCCAATATTGGGTACCAAAAGCCCAAAGGCCCATGAAGCCCAAAAATAGGCCGAATAAGCCTAAAGCCTAAAATGCTACTCTATGTTGTCCAAAATACAAGACCAAAATATGTGAAACCTATACTAATATAATATGTACAAAATATAAGAAAAATGGATTTATCAAGAGATGGCCCATGTGAAGCTCAAATTGGGCTTTCCAGGCCCATCGGGCCCATTGGGCCTTGACTGGCCCAAACCTTCATGTCTAGCCAACTTCTCTTGGCTCCTTCAATGTGTCACCCCTTGCCTTCCTAGGCATGATTCCATCATGTGATTAGTGTCACCAATGCTCATCTAGACCTTCTAAGAAATGACTATGCTGGTTTGCTCCAAACCCAACTCACAATTGTTTTGACTACAAAGAAAGGAAATGCCAAGGCTCATGGCGCGACACAATCAAGGGCGAAGAATGAAGAAGAATCGAAAGACCCACCCATGAGTCCGTAATTCAACAAAGAGTGAAGAATGAAGAAGAATCAAAAGAACCACCGTGAGTCAGTGACACAAGAAAAAGTTGAAAAGTGAAGATTGAAGCAGAATTGGAAGACCCACCCCACGTCCCCACCATGAGTCTGACACGTACTGGTATTGTAATGTTGTGCTTGTATTTGGTTTGCTATAGTGAACTTCACTATTAACTTTAATAGTTTAGTTTTATAAACTACACTAAAAATAATAGTTTAGTTTAAACCATTAAAAATAATTTAGTTTATTTTAGTTTAATTATTTAAAAAGTTTAGTTTAAAATAGTTTTGTGAACAACCCTAATAAAGGTCAAGTCTCGTGCAAAGTTAACAAAAGTACTAACTTGTAGAGTTCTCCAATGAAAATAAGTGCAAAATAAAATCCAAAAGAATGGCACATTAGGCAAAGGTAAAACTTAGAATGAAAAATTAAGACCTGTGGATATCAAATGAAAATAAAGAATTAATTAAATATTAAACGACAAAAGCACACAAAATTGTCATAAAATCAACAACATTGGTAATTAACATCACTAAACACCTAAACATATACGTATGCTAAATGCAAAAGTCGGTGGAATTAACGAAATTGAACCATAAAAGCATTTCTAGTGGATAATTGCTCCCTTGTAAATAGATAAAATTTAATAAGAAGATGAGAAACATATACATTAAATCCCAAAAGACACTAACACATTATGTTAACACAAAATATTGATTTATTCCAGCATCACCAACAAAATGAGTAAAGATAATATTGTGAATATCAAATTGTCCAAGTTCATAGTGCAGAGGGAGGTGTATTTTACACTAACCTAGTTGTAAGAAAGATGTGACCATGATGAAGGTGAATTAGTGGTGGACGAAGGTGTTATGGTGGCACGACATGGGAGACAACACTAGTGAGAGAGTATGATAGAAACTATTAAATGCTAGCGGGAAGGTAATGAAAGAACAACGATAGTGGCAAAACCAAAATAGAGCATAATGGGCTGAGTGGGATAAAAGATAAAATATTGGGAGACGAGCACAAAGATAAAGGGGGGGGGGGGGCGATGATCCTCTAAGTATTGGTTAACTAATTTTAAAATTGGGTAAAAGATAACTGATTGTAAAAGTAAGTTTTATTTACAAAAATGTCATCGTGTCACTTTTAAAATCAATTTCTTATTAATTGTCTTTAAAAACCCGACAATGTAATTTTCTTTTGCACTAATGTTTAGATGTTTAAAACTTCTATTAACCTTCCTCTATAATGAGTTTCTATGATAAACTTATGATACTTGCTTATCTTGATTGCTCTTAGGGCTTGAATCTTTCAAGTTAAGAAATCATCGTCATCCAGTTTGAAAGAGACTAGATTCATACAACTAAGGATGATAATAGGTCAGGTAGGGGTGTTCATGGATCGATTTTTTGAAAAATCCGAACCGAACCAAACCGAACCGTTTTATAAAAGTGGATCGGTTAACCGATCCCTTTTTTATAAAGTGAATCGGTTTGGTTTTTTTAAAATATGAATTGGTTTTTTTGAAAATGGATCGGTTCGGTGCAGTACGATTATCCACTTTTTACTTACATATGGATCGGTTTTTTTAAAAAATCAAACCGAACTAAACCGATCCATTTTGTGAAAATGGATCAGATAACTGAACCGATTTTATAAAGTGGTTCAGTTC